GATTGGTTTTCATTACTGAATTCTGTGATGACAGCCACCCAATATGAATGACAAGAATTGCATTTGACATTTTAATAAAAGGTAGACATGCAGCACTTAACAAGTAGCTGCTAGGGAGAATGTGCAAGACGGTGATCAGTGTTGAAAGCACTCAGTTGAGCAGGGTCAGGCTAGCTTGCTCTTCACTTGCTTCTGCGAATTGCCACATCCCTAATGACTGGTGGAGACTGATGAAAGCAGCAGCCCCTTTCTTCAGTGATGTCAGTGGGAGTCATGGAAGGGTCAGTGAGTAAATCCAGGTTTGCTCTTGTGTGTGTTGATGGCTTTATTAAAGGGATTCCACACATTTTCTGTGAAAGGAAACCTGATTCCAGGCATTATTTTTGTCAGAAGGATTTGCTTAACAAACCAGATCACTTTTAAATAATGTTTGCAGATAACTCTTAAGTTATTAATACTTGGAAAATACAAGTTAAATGACCAGTTTTGTGTAAAGAATTTTCTCTATAAACCTCTATAGACTCTCATCTTCAAAATCTGAAAATGAAATATTTCAGGTGATCTCTTCTGCAATCACACATTCTGGATGATCGAGAACCTTTGGATCCATGTGAGCTTCTGCAAAGACCTTGCTGTATGCTAGTTATATGCAAATGTGTGCTTACTGAGAGCAGAATAATTTGCATATAGAATTACCTGTCCTGAATAACATAATCCAAATACCCAATAAGTTTTAATGATTTCCAGACAGGGCTGTAGTCATCCTTGATGTTACATTTGATGGTACAAATGAATTAGTCTATACATTATATGTAAGATATGTAAGCTTATTCTCTTCTAATAGAAATGATACATTTTCTCAATTTGCTTTGGAAATAGCAGCTCACACCATTTCATTGTAGTTATTTGCAGATCTTTCTAGTAAACTCCAGGAGTAAATTTTAGGTAAATATATGACTTCTAAAAAATAACAATGATCATTAGAGAGTTTTAGGTTTCCACTGGCGGAAATTTACTTCAAATTTCAACACAGCTTAATCAAAACAGGGAACTTAGGAGTTCATTTAGTTAGGACACTAGATGGCTCCTGGGGTCCAAAGAGGAGCTTTGGGTCTCAGGGCCTCAGAGTTTAGAGCTGCTTTCAATACACTCTGATTCACTTATGTTCATCTTTCTTCCCTCCTGTCATCTATCCATCTGCCCACATTTAAATTTTTTTTTATTCTTTAAAAGATTTTATTTATCCATTTTTTAGAGAGAGGAGAAGAGGAGAGAGAGACAGAGAATGAAATATCAATGCATGGTTGCCTCTAGCATGCCCCCAACTGGGGACCTGGCCTGCAACCCAGGCATGTGCCCTGACTGGGAATCGAACCTTTGATCCCTTGGTTCGCAGGCCAGCACTCAATCCACTGAGCCACACCAGACAAGGCCCTGCTCACATTTTTGCCTTTATCTCCTTAGCTTTGTTTTGCAGAAAGCCTTCTCCATGTGATGGAGGAAATGGCTGACAATAGTTTTAAATTCATTTCAGCCCAGCAAGTCCAAAGAAAAAAATTTCTCTCTCCCAAAGTCTTGCCATCATTCAAGGAAAGAATTCTGATTGGCATTATTAGGGTCATAAACTCCCACCACGACCAATCAGAGCCTAGGAGAATAGGATACTGTGATTGGCTAGATTTGGCTACTCCTTCTGGGCAGGGCAGTGGGTTCTCACAAGAAGGAAAATGGGAAGGGGAACTTGTACTGGGCAGCCAAAACAAGTCTTTTACAAGAGTATCTTGTTTAAAAAGGTTTAAAAGCTGTTTAAAGAGTATCCTAATTGAGTATGCATGCTTGGATTCAAGTAAGATAAATTGATTTCAGAAAATGAAACCCATTATAGGCATGTAAGAAGGTATTTTCTCATACTAGGAAATACCATAAATTAGAAGAATTGACACAGCATATTGGAGGAAAGTTCAGTTGAATTAAGGACTGTTGTGTTGCAAAAAAATATTACCCCCCCCGCCAATTTTCCTTTCTTTAAATTTCTTTCACAAATGAGTCACTAAGAAATGGTAAGCTGCAGCTTATAACATTTTTAAAGATATTTTAATTTTTTGCTAAACCAGCAGGCGGGGGCCATTGCATCTGTTGTTGATATTAAAATATGAATAAGCCCTCATTGATTTGATGGTTGGATCCAAAATGAGGAATTTTAGTTATCAATAAGTGGGAATTTTACTATCTCTTTTTCATTGCAGCATATTCATAAATAAATATGTATTTACTTATGAATTTGCTACAGTGAAATAATACGAATGCCTAACATTTATAAGAAACATAAAATAGGTTACTTTGAGTGATGTGTGCATGTGTGAATTGAAGCAAATTCTCCAAACAAACATTCATCATGTGTAATAGCTGCAGAAGCCAAAGGCATTCTCACGGTGTGTTACTGCAAGCCTGCTGGTCTTTAGACTCCGGTGGTGACAAAGTCAATGGCATATAAATGAGAAGTTATTATGTTTTAGTAAGGCAAACATGGATTTAAAATAGGCTGCCTGCCACATTTAAATTAGCATATTTTACAAAATGAAGAAGGCCATCAAAGACTGCTTTTGCAAGTAATGGTCTGAATGGCTCTCAAGTTATCCGTGCCATGGTGATACATTACAAATAATAGATGGGCTGCAATTATTTATAAGGGATTCACTTTGTCAAGAGACTGGCCACAGCATATAGCTCAGATGACACTTGTGTCATGGAACGTTAATTGGCTCAGATAGCTCAAACGTTCTTGGCTGGATCTAAGGATTCAGATGATGTCGTCAGAACTCAGTCTCTTGTCACAGCTTTTCATTTATGTGTCTTCATTCTTAGAGAGCCACTCCCCTCATAGGGGCAAGAAGGCTGCCAGCAGCTTCACACTCATATCTTATTTCTTAGCAAACTCAATAGGGAGAAAGCAAACCTCTTTTTCAGCAGTTCCAATAAAGTCATAATTAAGTCTTATTTGCCTTGGGTCATTTGCACTGTCCTGAACCAGTCTCTATGGCCAGGGAGATGTAATATTGGGGTGAGCCACTCCTGAATTGGAGTAAGGAGTGGGAGGTTTTCTTTCTTCTTTTTTTAATCCCTACCCAAGGACATTTTTCATTGCTTGTAGCAAGAGTGGAAGGGAGAGAGGGAAACATTGATGTGATAGAGAAGCCTCAGTTGGTTGCCAGACTAGGGATTGCACACGCCAGGACTGGGGATCAAACCCACAACCTAGGTATGTGCCCTGACCAGGAATCAAACCTGCAACCCCTAGGTTACGGGGCAATGTTCCAACCAACTGAGCCACACTCCAGCCAGGGCAGGAGTGGGATGTTTTTCTGAGCAAAAACGATAGTGGTCCCAGGAACAGGGTAAATGTATCCAGGGTAAAAACCCAACCAATAAAATATCTGAAAAGTGATTCTTCTTTTTAAAAAATGAAGATATCTTCGAGAAGGAAAACATAATAAATGGTTCAGTAATTTAACTGACCCTCCAATTATTCAGCAATTCTCTGGTAAACAAGACAGACATCTAGTCACCAGGTAATTTACTCAATATGTGAAAAGCGCAGTGGCTATGAGCACATGTAACAAGGGGGCTTTAGGGAGGTAAGGAAAGACTTTCTAGAGGCAGTGATGTTTCAGCTGACACCTGTAAGGTGGGTCTCAGTTAGCCTGGGAAAGGGGGTGGGCTGAAAGGAGAGAGTTCCAGAGATTTTACCTCTAAATACCCTTGTAGTTTGATCAGGGGAAATGGCAGCCTGAGACCCTAGAAAGCCGGGTGGCAGAATACGCCAGTGGGGTTAATGGGCTTAGAAGGAGAGGACAGGTGTCCCAGAGACAAGAGCTATGCGTTTTGTCATCTGAGGGTGTCCAAGATAGTAAGTCTCATAATCCGTGTTCCTACGTGGGTCAGGACTCCTTCTGAAAGAAGATTTAGCTAAAGCTTAGAGAGTCTCAGTTTTAATACACCTTTTCAAAACTTAATTGCTTTTTTTGGGCTCTTCAAGTGAAAGGGGCTGGAAAATATGCCCTTGATTGCTTGGTAGACAAATTTAAAATTTTCGTTTTTGACCACTAACGTTTCCTCAAATAGCTATTCAGTGCTAAAACCCTCAGTGTGTGTCACACCTAACAGTATTATAAATAGTTGTGTATGTAATTGTATCTCAATTGTATACCTCGACAATCAAGATGTCAAGACAGCAGCTCTGTAAATCTTGGACTGGGTGTGTGAATAGATCATCCAGGTTAATTACAGACATCCGGGCAGTTTTGTTTTGTTTGCTTTGGTCTTGGTAAAGGGTTGAATAACCGAGCCTGCTGTTACTGAACACTGACATCTCTACTCAGTCACAAATCCCCCAAGTTGCCTGTGTCCTGCTTGAAGGATAAAGAAGGATGTGCGAAGGAGGTGTCGTATTTCTTTGATTTGGAGATATTGGGTGGCTGTTTAATGCCTTATTTATGACTAAGCTCCACAACTTTTCCAGAAACTTCCTATTTCCCATCTTATCTCCTGTCGCCACCTTTGAGTCTCTGCCCAGCTGTGAAGACCTAAAGAAAGCCTTATGCTTTTTTTAATTTGAAGGGTGTCATGAGAGACAGTTGTCAAATAGGTATAATAGCAGATAAAATAGCAAATTATGAAGAATATACTGAGCAGTGTTTATTTATCTGGGGGAGATAAAAGTGCCAAAATGTAAGAACTGCATATATTTCCATGTCTTCTGCGAGCTTTGTCCAGAATACTTTGTTTGCCTAATAGGGATTCTAAACTTTGGGATGAGGCTAAATCCAGACCAGTTACCTGGTCGACTCCTTTGGTGAAGGCATTTGTTCCAGGCATTTGATATCTTTTTGAAGATCAGTATTTTTAACCCTTCCTGTATTTGAAAAGTTTACAAATACAAAAATTGTGACCTGTATTCAGGAATTAACTGTATTTGTTCTAAAACTGTTTTCCTCTCTTAGGTGAACGAAGGCAATAGCTAAGCATGACGACCAGCAGACGGCTCGAGGAGTCCATGGGGGCTGTTCAAATGGGGTTAGTCAGGATACTGAAAGGGTTCCAGAGCAAGGTGCTGCCGCCCCTGAGTCCGAAGGTGGTCACCGAAGAAGAAGTGAACCAAATGGTAACGTATCGGGGAATTTCAGGGTGACACGCTTCGTGCCGTCTCCTCAGGAGGGCGACAGCTGCTCCTTGGCATTCGCCGCCTATCAGAGATTACTGCTGACGATATAAATTTAGGTAATGGGGTGGGGGGGGGGGGCTCGTTGCAGAGCAGAGGCACCTTTTAGAGCCTCAGAAGGTTTTGAAATCACATACATTGTGACAGTGGCTTGAATCACTTCAGTTAATGAGCTGAAGTAAGACTATGCAAGCACATTATTAGGTTTTCTAAATACCTGGTCGAACCCTAAGAAACTGTCATTTGAGTAGTTCAAAAAAAGTCAAGTATCAGAATTTTATAGGTTTTAACCTAAACAGTCTATTACCTATTGATTGGCAAGGGTTATTTTTGTTTGTACATTTGTGGAACATAGAATGTTAAAATAATGACTATATTGTAGGAAAATGCATAATTTTTCTTTCTTTAAAATAAAAATATTTATACAGTTTAATTTTTTTATTAAAATATTTTATTTATTTAGTTTTAGAGAGAGGGGAAGGGAGGGATAAAGAGGAGAGAAACATTAATACGTGGTTGCCTCTCACGCGCCCCTACTGGGGACCCAGCCCAGGCATGTGCCCTGACTGGGAATTGAGCCAGCGACCCTTTGCTTCTCAGGCCGGCACTCAGTCCACTGAGCCACACCAGCCAAGGATATATATTTTAATTTTTAAATTATAGTTGATGTACAATTAAAAAAATATTTTTAATGAATTATAATGATTTTGTAAGAATTGAATTATAAACCACATGCTATAGAAAATATCAATAACAATTTACAGTGTTAGATATAGTATTCACTGCATTTTAAAAACTAGTCTCAAGTTACATTTCAATTAGAAAAATAAAATCTATTATTATTCTCTTTTGTGGTGGTTATTATTTCATATTTAAGGTAATGCCTGACTTTTTGTTTATAAGACTTTGTTATTTTTTATTTAAACCACAACATAGCTGATACCTTGTTAACATTTTAGTATTCTAATCTGGGTTCCAATTTTTTAAAAACCTAAAAAACCAAGTTGGAAGCTATAATAGAAATATGTCTTCACTTAAATGGATTCAATCACAGAAAATAATTTGTATGGTATTTGAAAAGCATTGATTTTAACTCAAGGCAAAACAGATGAGCTAAATTATGTTCCTGTGATTGTTTTTCAAAGTCTTGGCACATACTGAAGCATTATGTTGCTGCCAGTGATCATAATTTCCTTGCATCTGAAGTAGGCCTTGGTGATGGAAATGTTCTGTATCTTGACTGTATCATTGTCAGTGTCCTGGTTGGGATACTGGGCTCTACTTTTTCAACACTGTTCTTGGGGAAACGGGCAAATGGTTCCTGGTTCTCTTGGTATTATTTCTTAATAACTAACTGCATGTAAATCTATAATTATCTCAAAATTACAAGTTTAATGAAAAACAAAAAACAAAAAACAAGAAACCCTTTCCTAGAAAGAAAGAAGGTCCTGGAAATAATGTGAACATTTCACCACAACAAACTAAGTAATAGCTCTTGGTCCTGGGTAACTAAGCCCTTGTTCGGTAACTTAAATGTTAAATGATAGGTTACATTTTTCCCCTCGTAACTTTATGAGCGTTAAGCGCATTTTGAGTTCTTATTTGGGTATGTGAATATGACCGGCTGCCAGATACAATGATTGTCTTAGATCTCTTTAAAACTAAGGTCTAAATGGACTCTCGTGATTTCTAAAACGTTCAGACTTATTCCTAAGCAGCATGATCACACTTCCCAGATCCTGTACATTTTATGAGGTTACTACTCTCTAACCTGGTAGAACCTGATAGTTAAACACTCAGAAGCGTTGCTTTCATGTTGTAACTTCAGTTGAGAAATAGACGTATTTCAGACTCCTTAGCTCTTAAGCCAGAAAGTGATTTTAGAAACTTAGAACTTTATGCTCAGATGCCTCTTCTGAGCGTAAACGTTAAGCTCTTTGGACAAGTTCCTGTGCGCTTATTGACTCTCCGCCCCCCAGGCACCTTTGTGTGATTCCTTCAAGATCGGAAGGAAACAGCAGCCACATGTCATTTCAGATTACTGTGCAAAGAGCTCAAAAGCGCATGAGTACTTCTCTTGTATTATTTAGTTATTTTAAATATTTTATGAGGGAACTTAGTGGCATTCCAGAATTATCCTGAAAGCTGCAAACACAAATTATTCATTACTGGAACTTGTGAAGATACTCTTTCAGTGTAACCGTTTATGAATCTCTGGCCCCTGTTGTTTTGAATTCTAGCTAACACCCTCGGAGTTCCTGAAGGAAATGTCCCAGACCACAGAACAGAGACTGGCTAATACACGGTTGATGTGCCGACCACAGATCATCGAACTTTTAGATATGGGGGAAACGACCCATCAGAAGGTAGATGCTTTCTGTTACAGTAGCACATAAAGTAGGCCCTGGCGTAAAGTGAACATTCTTAATCAAGTCACTAAGTAGTAGTTATTGGTTCTGGGCTAATTAATCTTTTATTTGGTTGTTTAATTCATTCTTTTTTTTTCCCTCTGTTGACCTTGATATCTGTGATTCGATATGGAGAGAATTAAAATTAATTAGTACAGATAACTTTTGACTGCTCACATTTCTTTCTTAGCCACTTCTAGACACTGTTGTTTACAGATTAGGGGTAATTCCAAGAATTATGTTAGCCACACCTGATTAAGTTATCATTTTAGCACTAGAAATCCCTCCTTACCTGAGCTGTCGTCACTAAAGAGAAAGGTGGCACTGCGTGGTAAAGTAGCCGCTTGTTGTATATTCTGGCTCATTTCCAGTAACAACGGTTTTCTTTTAGTCTCTCAAAAATAGTTACTTTAGCATGTTTCTATATTCTAATGTAAACCATATGTTCTAGGCTTCCAGCATATGATTATAAAATGAAGTCTTTATTTCCCACTTTTTAACTCCCTGAATTTTTATGTAGAAATTATGGTATGAACCTCCATCAGTTGAACTGCTGGAGATTTAGCCTCCTCTGAAAGGGTTCCTCAGCTGCTCCTGAGAGTTTTTCAGACTTATTTCCCACAAGACGAGCGAGTCCCTGAGGCTCTCTTGCTCTTACTGCCGTATCATTGCCTCCCCTGTCAAGGATCTGCACAGAAGTTTGCTCTTCCTTTGAGCCCTGATAGTTCCATTATTATTTATTATCTTCCCCATAAACATTCTCTGACTTTGAGGGCAGGGAACGTGGCTTTTCCCAAAGCTAATTCATCCTAATTAAGGGCTGTTTGCTCCTTTCCCATAGCATAACTAAGACCAGACTATGTGTATTGTTCTGTGCATAAAGCCTGTATTTGAATGCATTTTGACTCCTGCTATGAAGGTTGAGGAAATAAGTATACTTTACTACAGCTGATCTTCTCTCCACTCAGCTGGTTATTTTTACTTTATTTTTAGGAGTTTCATTTGTCCCTTAGTTGGGTGACAGTCATCCTCTACTAATTTCTTTTTCTTCTTCCTTCTTTCTTCTCCTCCTCCTTTTTTCTTCTTTCTTCCTTTTTACTAATTTCTTTGAGAAGAGCTTATGGAAACTATTTCTGTGGTTTTATATGTCTGATAATACTTACTTGTTGCCTTTATACTGAACTTCAGTTTTGTTAGCTGTAAAATTCTTGGGCCGCACATTTTTCCCATAAGAGCTTTGCAGGCATTTTCCTCACTGCCCTCTGGCTTTAAATAATGGTGTGTACAAGTATGAAGCCAACTTGATTTTCCCCAAGATAAAAGACAGATACTTTAATCTTCTAGCTTGTGTGCCCAAAGATTGTTTATTATTAAAGCCCAATAATTTTATTAGGATGTACCTTTATTTTATTTCTAGACTGTTTCCTTATATGCCATTGCTTGTTCTTTTCTTTAAGAATATCAATTACGAACATGTTGAACCTTCTTTGTCTGCCCTTCTACATCTTCTTTGTCGCCTTTAATCCATTTTTCATTTTCTGTTCATTTTCATTTCATTGTGATTACACACCCCAGGCTATCTTCTGAGTCCCTTCCTTTGAGTTTTGTGTATGTGTATTTCTCTTAAAGCTCATTCTGAAGCTTGATCAGTTAAGTACACCTGGATTGTCTCATAGCATTTGACACAGTCAGTGTCTCTTTTTGTGCCTTTTTATTCACTTGTATCTCACATATCACACTCCTTTGTTTTTTTCTACTTCACTGATTGCTTTTTTCTTACTTTATTTATTGGATTGTTCTCCTGTCCCTGATCACTAAATGTTGGAGCTCCTTAGCACTTGGTCCTTGAACCTCTTCTTTCTCTTCTAAACCCACTCCTTAGGAGATCCCTTCTACAAACAAGGCTTTAAATTCCCCCTTAAAATGTTATTTTCATAATTACACCTCTTGCTATGGCCTATCCCCTGAACTATGAACCATACATTCAGCTCGTATATCCAATTGATTTCTGGCCAACTTTACTCAATATTATGGTCTTTTTTCTTTGAGATTTATTTATTTTGTGTTCAGCAGTGGTTTATTCTTTTTTTTTCTGTATGGTATTCCATTGTGTGACTATACTACCTTTTTTTTATCCATTTTACTCTTGATGAGCATTTGTTTTTCCTCACAGTTTTACTATTATAAATGGTGCTGTTATAAACACTCTTTTACATATCTTTTGGTGAATATGCACACATTTCTATAGGGCATATACATAAAACTAGAATATTTAGGTTGCAGGCTATGCCTATGTTTTGCTTTGGTAGATAGTGACCACTTTTCTGAGGTATCTGTACCAGTTCACACTCCAGTCGTGCTGCACTGTGCTAGCAGGTGACGTCGTTGGTCTCTTTAACACCATTTCATCGGGTGTGTCATGCTGTCACCCTGCAGTTCAATGTGCAGTTTCTTGATTTTGAATGAGGCAAAGCACGCTCTCACATTTTATTAGCCATTTGGATATCATCCTTTATAAATTGCATGTTTATGTTTTTGTCCATTTCTTACTGATTTTGTAAAGGTTTTTCATATATTCTGGAGACTGGTCCTTTATCAATTACATGTATTGTAACTAATCCCCCATTCTTTGACTTTCTTTTTTATTCCCTAGTGCTTATCTTTTGATGAACATATGTTTTAAAAAGTCAATATGACTTAATTTACTAACATTTTTATTTATGTTTTGTATTTTCTATGTCCAATTAAAATTTTTCATTCTTCAACATCATGAAGATACTACTTTCAGTTTTCTTCTGAAAACTTTATTTTTTACCTTTTGCTTTGAAAGCTTTGATACACGTGGAATGGAGTGTGATAGGGGTTAATATTTTTCATGTGGAATATCCAGTTAACCCAATACCATTCGTTGAAGAAAACATATCCCTTTCCCAGTGCTTTTCAGTGTTACCTTCATCATAAATCGAATATCCATATATTTAAGGACTTTTTTCTGGGCTTTCTAATCTGGTAGATTTGTATTTACGATAAGTCTTGTGCTAATATCTCACTATTTTAACTGCTAGATAAGTAACAGTATCTGATATGTATTACAATAATATAATTATAGTAAGTGTTGCTACCAGATAGAGCAAGTTCTTTTCTCTTGTTCTTCAAATGGATCTGGTCTATTCTTAGTCCTCTGCTTTTCCATATAAATTGTATAATCATCTTTTTAATTTCCAAGAGAATTTTTCTGGCGGGGATAATTTTTATTGGATTGTATGATTTTTATATCAATCCAGAGAGTATTTGACATTATTAAAATATTGAATCTTTCAATTTGTGAACATGCTTTGTTTCTGTATTTTATATAGATTTTTAAAAAATTCTTCCTAGTAATATTTTATAGTTTTTTTTGGATAAAAGTCTTACACATCTTTTGTCAGACTTATTCCTATGCATTTAATGTTTTAGGATGCTATTTTAAATGGCATTGTTTATAAATTTTACTTCTTAAATGTTCACAGCTAGTACATATAAATATAGTTGTTTTTTGTATGTTGACCTTGATAAGTCACTTATGAATCCTAATAGTGTATCTGTTTGGTTATTTTGAATTTTCTAAATAAACAATTTTTTTTCTTCTGGGGAAAGTGACAATTTTGTTTCCTCTCAATCAATTTTAAATGTTAAATTGAAATGTTGAATTTCTGAAATAAACTCAACTCGGTCTTGATGTTTGTTATCCTCTTTTGATATTGTGGATTTTCATTTGCTAATGTTTTGGTTCTTCTATTGAATATGTGGTTTATGAGTGATGTTGACCAACAACTTCCCCTTTTCCTACTGTCTTTCTTAGGTATATGAAAGTTATGCTAACATCATCAATTGCATTGGGAGATATTTAATTTTTGTTTTTCTTTTCTTTGGTAGAGTTTCTATAATATTTCAGTTGTACCTCTTTAAATGTTTTCTAGATTTTGCTTGTGAAGTTATTTGGACCAGAATTTTTTCTATGAAAGGTTTTTACTTACAAATTCAATTTCTCTCATAGTTATAGCACTATTCCATTTTTCTATTTCTTGTGCTAGTTTTGATAAATTGTATTTTTCTAACAATTTGTACTTCTTATCTAACTGTTCACATTTATTTATATAATATCCATTTGTTCTCTTTTTCTTTAGTTAAGGTTCTGTAGTAATGTCCCTGTTTTCATTATTTAATGGGATCTTTGTACTTCTGTCTTGTTTTCTTGATTAGATTCACTGGGTATTTTATCAATTTTATTAGTCTTTTTAGGCTCAACTTTTTGCTTTGTTGTTTCTATCATATTTGTTGTACTTTCTATTTCATTAATTTTTGGTACTGCTTTTGTTATTTCATTTTTTATTTGTTTTTTAAAAAAATATTTGCTATTGTATTTCTAAACTAGTGAGGTGGATGCTTATATCTTCAGTTTCCAAACTGTGTGCCAAGGTGCCCCAGGGTACAGCCATGAACTTACAGGGCATCATGGGGTATTCTAAATTTTTAAGAAAATATGGCAGTACTCAAAACTTGTTGGACATTATACAAGCTGTCAGCTTGAGGTAATTCATAGTTTCAATATTAGATCATACTATCTTTTTAGCTCTTTAGTGTCTCCAAGCAGTTATTTATTGATACAACTTTTCTTGTTATTCTCATAGGGGAATTGGTTCAATTACCTTATTCACCATTACCAGAAATGGAAGTTTTGGATTAATGTTCTAATTAGCCATATTTATCTGTTTTTTGGTTGGTCGTCTTTAATTGGAGTATTTCCCTTTGTAGTTCTTACCTAGCTGGGCACTCCACTGCCCCGTGGCTACGACGCCACGGGGGTAGGGCTGTCATCATGACGGCCCACAGACTGGGCGGTCCCCAGGATCTCTTTGATGGCTCCAGAGAGTTCTCTAGCTAAGATTGCTGCCGCATCTGTCCAGCAGTGTTGACAATCTCTTCAAAAGTGATATTTCCACTGCGCTGAATGTGTTTTTGCTTCATTCTCTCTTGGGGTGGTTGTTTGAGAGCTTTGATGATCAGGGCAGGGGCAGAACGCACTACCTCAGTTTGGGTCTGTCTGTTCTGAGTGCTCGTTTGTCTGTGCGCCTCAGACCCTTCTGGTCACCAGTTGCTTTGGCGATGTCACCACCAACCTTTTTTGGAGACAGGCTCAGGGGGCTGATTTTGGGGGCCAGGGCAGACGTGGCACCGACTTCCCCGCAGGTGCACCTCAGGTATATGATATCTCCTTGGGGTCGACTTCAACGGCATGGTGGAGGCGCTGGTGTCAGATGAACCTGGATTCAGGGTGACCGAAGAAAGTGTCACCTAAGCCTCCTCCGAGCTGAAAGCCGAACACTAGCCTCTATTTTTTTAAACTGAGGACCAAAACTTCTACTGTTTTTTGTATTAAAGAAGCTGATGACAATAATCTTACCAATTATAACAATTATTGTATAGAGTAATTACCCCTCTTTGAGTGTTCCCTATGTTGTTAGTATTAATATCCATACTTTTATATAGTGTTTTCTTATCTTCCCCAGCCATTTCTGCCACTGTGTGTGACTATATGATTAATTTACTTTTTTTCAACTGAAGTTTTCAGGAATTGACCTGGATCAGGCATTATTCCAGCCCTTTCCATCAGAAATTATATTTCAGAACTACACTCCCTGTGAAGTCTATGAAGTTCCACTGGTTCTGAGGAACAATGACAAAGTGAGTATGTTCGCTGTGATGGCTGGACCTTTCATGGATGTATCAGAAGGAGTTAAATAAAATGGGGTCCTGTAGGATCTTAGCTAAGTTCTGTAATTTGGTGGACTTGGGAAAATATATGAAAACGGGCCCTTTGACTGTCAGCTTACTGAGGACAGGGCTGTGTTGGTGTGTCGCTCTACGTTTGACCCCAGGGCAGTGCCCACCCAACAGTAAATTCCCAGCGTGTGCACTAACGTTTTGTTGAGTAAAGGGTTAGCTAGATGCATGTCATGAAGTTCTCATGTGGCTGGTGGGCTAGGCTTCATTCAAGACAGACAGGGCGACTACTACTCATGCTTACAGACTTTGTGTTAGAGCCTCCGCTCCCCAGCTGAAGGCATTAACTCTGCTCATGAATTGCAGCTGCTCAGCCAATGCATTTGTGTTCTATAAATTGAATTTTTTAAATCAAACAATGGGCATCCCTTTCCCCCTTTTCTGTTTCCTTATTTCTACCTTCAGATTTTGACTACAGATAGTTTTGAAATGACTTCTTCCATTATTTATACCTTGTCTTTTTGTGGTTGCAACTGAGGATTTTTCTTCCCATCCTGTGCCTTTTTCTTCAGAGATAAACTAGAGTTTATTTTAAGAAAAGGTATTAAATGCCTAAAGATTTCCTTGGCATCTAATGATAATGAAAGACAGAATAAGGCTGGAGGTCAGCAGAAAGCACAGTTAAGTGTGAAAAGTAATCAGATGGGGAGGAAGGCATCTGAGAGATGCTAAAATTCAGGTGTAAAGACAAGTAGGAATACTTACAGAATCTAAGAATGTAGAAACAAATTCTCACTGTAAGAAAAAAGGGGAAACCAGTAAAGACTATGCAAGAATCCAAGGCAAATGAGAAGACCTGCAGATATATTTGGTACAATAGCTCGTTAAATGAATCAGTGATGCCTTTCGGAGATTCATGGGGTGATTTAGTGACAGCAAAACCAGACCCTGGAGAAAATGGTATATTTAGTTTTTTTGCTGCAGGAGTGTTAACAAGAGAAGCTCATGGGATAGAAGCTGAGGTGTAGGCATAGAGAAGGAAAAACCCCAGGTGTTCAGGATTATGTTCTGAGACCTCAAGAAGAGATACATTACATAGACATTAGAATGCTCTCTTTTCACGCAGGGCTGCCAACCAATTTAGCTTCTCACTTCCAGTTCCCTCTTTCCCCCTTTACATTACTTTTTAAACTTTTGTTCAAGTTTTCTTAGGCTTTGAAAGACAGAGAGGAGTTATATGGTTTATATGGTACAGTTGGCTTATATGGGCAAGTCAAGGATAAGGGGTATGTGTAAGTTTTATCTGCCAAAGGGCACCCAGTTCTCATGGATAACCCATCACCCCCTGGTAAGGTGCTGCTAGGGTTTTGGACTTCATGAAAGCCTCCTCCTCATCTAAGAAAGTCCAGCTAACAACAAGCAGACAGATTCCTCTAGGATGGGCAGACTTGGTTCTGGGTGAGTTACTCCCAGGGCCCTTGGAGTAGATGGCTGAGGTAAGCCTGCTTCTCTCCATCCCTGGTTCATGGACACTTAAGGAACCACTGAGATACATTTGGGTCACTGTACCATTCACCTTTTATTGGCTTCCTTACTGGAGGCAACACAAAAAGACATAGCTTATTTGGTCATAATTTCTCTCTCTCTCTCCAACACACACATTGAAAATAAGCCATTTACACTCTACAAGCCACAGAATGATTCTACTTGGGATACAATTATAAGCACCCAGACTCTAGAGGCAGACTAATCTGTATTCAGATTCTGGCTGAGCTGGGTTCTGGGTTCACATTCCAGCTGTCTCCCAGCTGCAGATTTTGGGCGAGTCACTTCCCTTCTCCAAGCCATTGGGGTAATAATAGCACCCATTTCAATAGGTTGTTTGGCTTATTAAATGAGATAATGAATGTAATGTATTCAGCTCAGTGCCTGTCACATAGTAAGTATCATTCACTACTGTTATTATTATATTAGTGTTACTTTTGTTTTCCTTATGCTGTTAATTAAAAGTATTCCCAACAAGCTCACATAGTATCATTCAACACATCATAAATGCCACTGCACATTTCCCTTACCAGCAAAGCTACTTCCATTCCAATGCCATTTGCACACATCTCTTCCCTACCTTCTGCTCTCTAGTCTCATCTGTCTGAGTCCTCTCCATTTCTTCTCCCCTTCCCTGTCTGGTTACAGTTTTGAGAAGTTTTGGGAGGTTTTTTTCCCTCATTTTTCACTGGAGGCATCTGGATCATACTTAACTATAGTTAACTTTCTCCTGCCCCCTTTAGTCATTAAAAAACAATCCTTTCCTTTCCCCTGTGTCCCTAGAACCTCTACTGCTGACCGCTGACCACTGACCGCTGACCATCCCCGTCCTCTTCACATTTGCCTTTCCTTTATTGCATGGGCTGAGATAGATATACTGCTCTAGGCAAGACCAGCATGCTTCAGGAGTAAAACTTTAAAAGAATACAAATTTTGGAGCTGTTCTGAGACTGGGCTTAGGGATATTGTACTACTCTTTTTGTTCCTGCTTCACAGTGGGGCTTACTTAGGACAATCTCGGAGAGAGGGAAGGTGGGCTCCAGCTGGGACTTGGACACCATTGCTTGGTGAAGCTGTAGCACTTAGGGCAAGTGTGTGTTTCTTCCTCTGTAGAATGGGAGTCATACTGCAGCTCAGAGTTTATTGTCAGGAATAAGTGGCACGTCACGTGCAGTGATGGCCCAGAGCAGGAGTGCAGTTGAGTGTGATTTCCTCTCCCAGAGCAACTCTCAAATGTCGGGAAACCCAGCTTCACTCCACTGTGTGAGTGGGGTCTTAGCTGTTCGTTTGTGAAGATAATTCACATTTAAATAATAAACTGAAGAAAGACTTGCAATAATAATAAAATGAGTAATAATAATGTTAATAAAAATTAAAGCTAAAATACACTGAGTGCTTACTTTGTATAAGGCACTGGGGTAAAGGCAGGTGCCGTCATCTCCTTGTGCAGTTGATGAGAGTACAGTTCAGACCTGACCCAGGTCGCATGGCTGGCGAGTAGTAGATGGGGATCGCATCTTTCACCACGAAGCCTGTGCTTTCTCTTCTGTATTTTCACATGCACAGTGTCATCACTGTAGGTCCTTCTTGCAGGTTCCAAGGATGGTGAAAGTCGTTGAGGAAAGTTCACCTTACTTTAAAGTAATCAGCCCCAAAGATATTGGCCACAAAGTAGCTCCAGGAGTGCCATTCACATTCCGAGTCGTCTTCACTCCGGAGGAGAACAAGGTAACAGCAGTGCTGCCAGACACTGGTTGAATGCTCTCACTAGCGGTTTGCAATTCTGAACATTTATGGAGGTGGTGGTGTTGGTTTGGGGGTTGCTGGTTTTGGCAGTGGTATTGTCAGTGGTGGTATTAGTCGTGTTGGTGGTAGTGGTATTGGTTTGGTAGTGGTAGTTGTGTTGTTGATGGCTTTGGGGCTGCTGCTGCTGGTGGTGGTGGTATTGGTGTTGATGGTATTGTTGTTGGTGTCGGTGGTGATGGTGGTGGTGGTGAAAGAAGTGATAAAGCTGGGTGAGAGGAGGGGATGGCATACCGCTGGGAAGGAGGAAACAATGGTCAAGGAGTGCTGAGGGCTTATATGGGCTGTAAGTGTCGAGGATGCAAAGAAGGTTAAATCTTCTGAGTGACTCCCCTCCCCGCTTCCCCAGCCCCTGCCTCCCCAGCCCCTGCCTCAGCGTATTTATGTTGGACTATACTGCGAGAGGGACACCAAAAAGGAAAAGGTGTCTCCAGGTGCAATGAGCTAAGACAAAGGATAAAGAATATGGCTTCTTGGAAGTTTTGGATCCTAGTTAGTTTCATTTCACCTTCCAGGATTCTAACCAGTATAGGAAAGAGATCCAAGATCCAAATATCGATCACAGTGTCAGTCTCATTAAGTATCAGCAAGGAATGTGGCCAGGATGGGAGGCCGGGAAGGGGCCCCCTCCTGCTCTCCAGTGACTGGAAGGGAACTAGACCTTGGTGAAGGGCTGACCTAATCGATAACTCCACCCAAGCCCGGGTGGGAGTGGAGGAACTAGAGCAGGCAGGGAGAGCAGAGACCTGCCTGCTTTGCTTTCCCTGTTCGTACACAGGCAGGCTAGAAAGAGCCTAAGTTCAAAAAGAGGCCATTTCCCCTGGAATCTAGCCCGTTCTCAGGCTCTCCTCACTTGTAGAAATTCCAGCTCCTCCCAGAAGGAAGGGCCAGCCAAGGGGATCTGAGGAAGGAGGCTTCCTCCCCCGCCCTCCTCCAAGAGCACAAAATTGTGGTTTGAGTTTTCCCACGTGGGTCAAAGTGGAGACTTGTGAGGGGGAGGAAAGGGGTTTTACTTGCATGATCAAAGGCTTAAATAGGCACAACAAGATGTCAGGCTACATATAATGCTGATAGTGTGTGTGCTGACCTCTACTGTGCCATAATGGTTGGAATCAAAAGAGCATGATAGGGGCAGAGAGAACTAGTTTTGAATCCCTGCTTCTCCATCACTAATACTTATTAGCTGCTGTCAATGTCATTACCACTATTCCTGCTACTATTGCTATTCTTCCCACTCTTTTGGAGAGCAGGGATGGAGAGTTTAATGTGGTCTGCCAGGTATGTATCACTGTAGTGAGTGGTTAGAAATCCCATTATAATCATAACACTGTGGTTATTATTTTGCCAATTTGCAGTATTACTGTTTATTTCTTGGGTTGTACATGGACCTGTCATTTTGTTTGGGGGTATTAATGAAATAAATGAAAAAATAAATCACCCCAGAAGTAATGCTTTTTGTTACATATTATCAAAGTCCTTATTTTTCTTGAGGCTCCATATCTGAATACTAACTGAGAAGAACAGCACCTGGGTTTAGTTTGGGTGTCAAATTCTTACGCTGACTTTTCCATAGGAAGCTGATTATAAGCCTACGTGTAGACTGAAACATAAAGCTTGCTGGATTTGAGGAGTTGGCTTTCTTTAATTATTTTTCTGTGCTGGAGAAAATATGCCTTCTGTTGAATAAGTATTGTTCTTCCTGCAGGTAGTCTGGCTGAGAAAAGGGTACTTGGGATTTTCTGAGGAGGTGGAATGTTTTATATCATGATAGATGTGAGGGTTATGTGGGTGAATTTACTTGTCAAAGTTGTACATTTAATACTTATGCTTTCCAATAGATCTAAATTTTACCTTAAAAACTACAAAAATGTAATGAATGGATTGAGGTGTAGACAAAGCCAGAATTACAGAATATTAGTAATTGTTGAATCTGGGTGATGGGTATGTGACATTTGTTATATTATTCTGTTTTATTTGTGTTTTACATATAGATTTTAGATTTTATTTATTTATTTTAGAGAGATTGGAAGGGAAGGAGAGGGGGAGAGAAACATCGATGTGCAAGAGATACATCGATTGGTTGCTTCTCGTGCCCCCGCCCCCCCAACTGGGGGCCTTCTGGTTCTCAGGCTGGTGCTCAATCCACTGAGCCACACCAGCCAGGTCTTAAGGTCTTAAAACACCAGCTGTTTTAAGTCTTCCCTAATCAAAAGCTTAAAGAAAAGAGAGTTTTTATTACTGTTTATCTATACAGCAAATACATAATTTATATGTATTTTAGGCATGTTTGTATTTGCTTTATAAATATGAAATGCTAGGACTCCCATTGGGATTACTACTTGGCTATATTTTGTGGCTGCTTATTTTATTCCTAGTCTTTTTATTCCCATTTACATTTCATTTCACCAGCATTGCATGTCTGTTGGGAAACCCCTAATTAAAATGTAAATGTGGTTTTACTCTTTCTTCTTCTAAGTATTTGAAAGTTATCAGAGGTTATACGCATGTATGCAGAGGCATAAAGTGAGAACAGTGGCTACCTATGAGAAATTCAGTTATCCGACTTTGGATACATTAAGATTTTGTTTTGGATTTGGGCTCTAGGAGGTAACATAATTTACAGAATTTGTTTTTCTAAAGACATAGTGATTGCTCCTTTTGCTCACTGTCTAAGATGGATGGAGTGTGTTTGGGAAAGCCCTTGCTACTAGTTTTGGTTCTTTTTTCCTGCAAAGGTCCTCTTGCTCTTGCACCATCAGCAGGGCCCCACTACCAGCAGTTTCTCCAGTGTCTGGGCATCTACATTCACCCTTACTCTTGGAAAGCCAGCAGGGCTGTGCACAGAATGCCCAGCGAGGGATAGTCGTGCTGTTTCTGGTGCTGCTCCAGAATGCAGCAGAGGACTAACCACAGCCAGATTTATTTTAGGAGAAAATAAAAGTCAGTCTTTTCATTGTGTCACTTTTTCTTCAGTTGGCAAAATTGACAGCCAATGCATATATTATTTTCCCTCGTTACCCCCTGCCGATCTGAGCACATGCTATTCTCATTTACCCTCCTCACATCTGGAGGGTGAGATATGTAAATTGCAGCATGCCACAGTTTAATAAGCCAGTCCCCTTTCAATTGGATTTTCAGCACCCATGTATATTAGCATGTTGAAGATGATAATGCAATTCACATTTTTTCCCCTGTCATCTATTAATCTGGCTTCCTGGGGATTTAACTTGTTAAGAATGCCAAATGCCCAGATAACAGGTGCAGCAAATTTACTCTGGCTTTCCTTATCTCTTCTTCTCACACAGACTTTTAAAAATGATTGGATATGTTATTATATTAATCTAATAATCCCGGTGTACATGTCATATATGGTAGAAATATAAGTCAATATTGTCATAACACTATAAAATTCTGGAGCCTGGCATTTTTCTTGACCTGTTACATTTGTATATTTGCTATCAATATTAAAAGGGGAATGAAAAATATTAGGCTTTTGTAAAAGCAAAAACGGGTACTTCCTTGGGCTTAAGGAAGCATCTGTTTACTGCAGTGTTATCATAGGAAAGTGGCTGCAGTGAATAAATCGTGAAGTGATGCAATTTTATTGCTCAGTTATGTTTTAAGAAGATATATAATTAGTTGTCAAAATAGTTTTCTTGATTTGTTACTATGAAATTTTAAAAATTATGGCCCAAGAATAGTAGAAAAATGTGAACATATTTTATTTTATCTAGGTATACAACAATAATGAACTATGTTCCCAGCATTTTGACTTAAAGTTTAGATATCACAAAATTTTCCACAGTCAACAATTTTTGTTGGCAAAAATTTATAGGGATTTTGTTTTCTTCCTCCTGGGACTGGCTTTCTCTGGTTCCGTCTGGGTCACTCCCACAACCCTGGTGCCTTGCATCATGCCGGCTGCCACACAGGATGTGCACAGTGGGTATTTGTCAGGCGAGACAAGTAAGTCAAAGTCAATCTCAGGAAAATACAAAGAAATTTTTTCAACTTGAGAATGGCCTACAAATATTAAAAGCACAAGTTACAAAAAGGGCTCAAATGTCATTTTGTGCCAGGATGTAGTAGACGTTAAAGTTCTTACCATTTCAGCCAGGAGAGAGATGTCTGAGAGCCTTCTCTGAGAGGAGCATTTCTCACCATTTTGTTTCACGTCATCATCGAGTTACTGCTTTTTAGCTTTCTGGCCTTGATCAATGTCATTTTGTAATAAGGCCAATGTGATGATGTTGGAAAGCCTCTTTATAAAGAACTCTTGATACTTTAACTAGTCTAATAAAGGTATTAAAAATGGATAATATTCTTTCACTCTGTGCCAGGCCCAGTTTTATGAGCTGGGATCCTTTGGAGAACAGAACAAGTTTTGGCCTTCCTGGAGCTTATGTTCCACTATATATAAACAAATAAATATGTAATTTAATATCAGATATTGACCTGCTAGAGAGTAGGGGGGTGAGAGGATCCTGTTTCCTGTCAATAGGAGGACCAGGGATGACTTCTGTGACAAGGTAACACCTGATCCGAGAACTAAATTAAGTCGTGTGACTCTCTGAGGGAAGACCTGCTTGTCTGGGAGAGGGAGCAGCAAGCACAAAGGCCCTGGACTGGGACGTGATTGGCAGCAGGCTCAGGGAGGTGCAGGAAGCCAGCGTGGCTGGAGTAGAGGAAGCTGCTGGAAAAGTGTAGGAGACAAGGCGGCAGAGAGTAAGGGTCTTAGAAGTCATGCAGAGTGTGACAGGAAGCCCTTTCAAAGTGCACATGAAAACATTTCTATTACAGAAGCTTTCACTCACACGTAAAAGGAGAGAGAACAGGCAGGGTGGTGAGCTGCCGTCACCAGCATTTCCAGCGGTCGGTGCGTGGCCAGTCTTACGTCACCTGTCCTGTTCCCTGCCTCAGAGGGG